GGGAGTTGAGCACACAGCAGTAACACTGGGAGGGGGGGGGCTATGGCAAACCTTGGGGTGGGTTTGCCATAGCCATAGCCATAGCCTTCCACTCAGCACTGCCGTTGCCCGCCCCCAGTGTAACATAGCCCCCCCCGGGTGGGAAGAGCCTGGCACATCTGTGGCCACAGCCCGCAGCAGCTGCCCGCCCTGCCCTGCACAGATCGGAGACGTGTGCCCCCCATGCCTCCCAGGGTGCGCATAGCAACAGGAGCCGTGTCCCCCGGATGAGCCGCATGTGGGGCAGTCCCATGCCGCCAGCTGGGCAGCTCCTGTCCCTCTCCCTGCGCCACCCCTGCTGCAGTTGCCAGAAGCCCTCAGCTAGGCTTCCTCACGGCCCTACCTTGAGGCCCTACTGCTGCCCTGTATTTTGGGGGGGGGTCGGGGGGTCTAAGCCCTGTTAGCTCCCCCTTCGGCCACCTATGAGTCCAGGAAAAATGGGTTCAATCATGAGAAAAGTGGTGCACCCTTAACTCCTAGGGTAGTCCTAAGGGCTTCACCCAAAACTTGAGCCCACTCCTTCTAAACAGCTCCTCTAGAAGGTGTTTTTCTAGAAGGGGAAAAAACAATTGAAAAAGAAATTCCAATAAGCCAAACCTTCACCCAGAAAAAGGAAGTATAAGATATGTACTTCTCCAGTAGCTCCTTCATGATAGCCACCAGATTGGTCCTGGAGCCAGCAGGCTCTTATAGCCATGGAAATGAAAGCATCTTCAGCGCTGCTCGTGATGAAACCTTGTGGCATGAACTCTCTCACCAGCTGGCTCCTCTGTTTCATTCTGATTTCCTCTGTTCCTAACTCAGTTGTCAACGTGCAGCTGTTTCTGACTTTCTCGACCTTCGTCTCATTGGTTTATATCGTATCTTCCTCTCTCAACTTTTCCCATGTTTCCTTTCTCTTCCTGCCTCTCCCTGTTTGAATTATGCTTTCATTCCCCTTTCAATTTAATGCGCTGTTCTTTCCCTGTCCCACTTTGTACCCACAGCTGAGAGGAACAGGAAGACCTTTCTGATCGATCTGCCCACCCTCACTGTGCATCTAACAGACTCTGCCGTCTGCCGCCAGTCTGCAGCAACCTGGACCCCCGCCGGGGGGTGGAGGGGGGGGGGTGGCAGATGTTGGTGACAGTTAGGTCCACCAACTGCCACCACAGAGCCCAAGGGCTTGTCTACACAAGAGTATTGTACCTAGTTAACTTAATCTAGTTAACCCAGGGCAAGCCCCTTTGTTCAGGAGTGGCTCTTTTTGGCTTAATTTACGTTATTTGGGATGCTGAAATGTCACCTTCAAACTGATGTAACAGGTCCACATAGAGGCTTTAGTCAGTTTAAACCGCATTTTTAAAATAGGTGCAACTGTCCTGAATAGACAAGTGCCTTAATTTGTGATAGGGATGTATTTTGGTAGCTGTGTTGGTCTGAGACAAAAAGAAATGCAAAATTCTAAAACTCTTGGTTCGGAGATGAGAGATGATACCTTTTATTAAACCAACTAATTATCTTGTAACTTTTGGGCGATTTCTTAATTGGTCTAATAAAAGGTATCATCCCTGAACCAAGAGCGTTAGAGTTTTGCATTTCAATCTGTGATAGGACTTTTTACTCAACCGTGGACTAGCGCATCAAAGAGGGAACAAGCCTCCACAAGGCTGCTATTCCTGAGTTATTTCAGTGGTATTCTGCCGGGATCTGTCAGTCCCCCATATGGGAGGATTCAACTCATACTGTTTTATACACCAGCATTTCTCAACCCATGGGTCATGACTCAGAAGTGGGTTGCAGGAATATATGAAAAGGTCAGGAACAAACTTTAGAAAATTATTTTCCTTTAAAGGAGAAAAACATGGGAAACTGTGGCTTTTCCCAAGCGGTCTGGTCGAGTTCCAGCCTGCAAGGGGTTGCTTGGGGCTGCTTGTGACCACCCCCCACCCCACACACACCCACCCCCTGCCCCACACACTGGGGGCCTGGGCGTGGGGGGCAGTGGGTCAGGACTGACCATCGATGTTTGCAAATGGGTCCTGGTACAAAAATGGTTCAGAACCACTTTATACAACCAGGCGTTGTATGGTCTACCTTAGGGGCAGACAACCTGTGGCATGCTTGCCGTAACTGGCATGGGCAGCCTCTGTGCATGGCATGTGGCACACTGGGGAGAGCACACAAGGAAGATTACATCCAATCGGGCAAGGAAAAGGGACTGGGCTGGCACTTGGGGAGGGTGTGAGGCTAAATTGTTGCATGCCTGCCAAAAAGGTTGATCCCCACTAGCTTACCTAATTCTAGCTGCCATCCTCTTTCTGCTAAAGGAAAAAAATGACACAGACTAAATGAGATACAATGTGTCCCATAACCCCTCTGGCTGAGTTGGTCTCTCCTGTGTAAATCACTCTTTATGAAGTAATACTAATTATTTAGGCATATGTATTTATTTGTGCAATAGGGTAGACTTGCGTGATGTGTATTTCATGTTCATGAGGGTCCCACAGTGGGAGGCCTTTTTCTTCAAGAGAACATTAATAGCAATAATTTCTAAAATAACCTGCAAATGGAAGGCTTTTTACAGGGATTTGCACTAAATAAAACGAACCTGCTTTTGCTTCCCGCTATTTACTTCAGTCAGATAATCAGCTTTTTGGTGTGTGGTTGCACACAATTTGGGAATATAGGATACACACAAGGGAATAAGCCCGTTTAAAATAACTTTTCTGAGTATTATCTTTAAATGTTTGTATTTGTTTCATTCCTTATGAAACAACTGATACTGGCCCAAATGTATATTAATCACAATTTAATTACCTATACAAGCAGATTCTCTGGGGAAAGTACAAGCATAAAAATTAGCCAAAAATAATACTAGAAATGAATACAAATTCCAAAATGTGCTTACTAAAAGCAAGAGATGGATTATAAGACAGTCATGGTGTTTTAAACATTATTGAGGTAGCCAGCCTCTATAAACAGGAAAGATATTATCTACTGGGGATTATTTTTCTTTTCCATTTTCTTTTCCATTTTTGCTTACCTGAAAATCTGTCAGTGCTCTTGGGTGACTAAGGATCATTTGAATCATGTTTTATTTATTTACTTGATCTATTTAATTATTTTTTTTCCCACAGAGAGTATACTCAAGACCCCAGAAACTGATAACAAAAAGATAAAACTGACCATTTTGCAAAGTGACTACAATCTGAACAGTTACTGTTTGTGTATAACATTAAATATCATAAATCTGAATGATACAATTTTACACCCACTGGCACAGATTCTCTCTCTAATATTGCCACCTAGTTCTGTCATCACAAAAAGAGAACACTAACGATCTTTACCCGTACCGAATTTCTGCTCCCTCCTCCCAACAAGCAGGGGCAATGAGGGATAGGTTTTACATGGGGAAAATCTTTAGGAACATTGCTAGTGGATACAGGCTAGTGCTGCCATAATAATTTGGCTCTCAAGTAACATTATGCTGTTTCTGAGATGTGTGCCATGTGGATGCAGTTAAGAGAAGGCTGCAGCCCTGTATTCTTGGCATGTTTCTATATTTTAGATGAAAGAATTCCAAATTAGAACCATTTGGGGAACATAAGATGATACATTACATCTCTTCTATAATATATTCAAGTTTCAGACTTATGGAAATTGGTAAATGGCTTGGACTGTACTCAGATCTGGACCGTACAAAAGTGAAACATACCACACAGTTAGCACAGAAAATGAAATCCTGAAAACAAAACACTGCAAGGCAAACATTATTTGATTCAGAATAACTATTAAGACTTTTCCTTGTTAGTACAAGGGGACTTTAGTAACAATTAAGGCCAAGTAAATCTTACTGTAACCTGTAAAGGTTACAGTAAATCTATTGTCTCATCTGTTTGCAATTATAGTTAGACAACTGCATGTAGTCTCTATCTTCTGTTAATCACGTTAAATCAAGCCTGCCTCAATCAGTTGCATGCAAAAGGTGGCAAGATTAGGGTGATTTTGATTTGGCCAAACCTCGTTAGTCACTTAAGCTAAAAGCAAGATGGTTCAGATCTAGTCCCGTTTTGTTCATAACTCAACGTTTAGTTAAGTCCTGAAAAATTACTTACAATATGGTTTGCCTCTCATCATAAGCATAACAAATTCAAGACCAAGCAATTTGCATTGAAAATTCATTGCCCTCTACAAGTGCAGAAGGAAAAGGAGCTCTCTGATTTGCATTCCCTTCAAACTGTAATTAAGCTTCAAAAAATCAAACCAATTTTCTCTAGGGAAAACATAAAATGATTCATTTCTCCCTTTACTGTTTAGCTTTAGTTTGTTAGTTTTTTTCCTGTACTAGATGGGTGCTCTGTGTGCTAGTGTTCAGCAACCTTGCTGCCTTTGACTTAGTGCCCTCTTCTGTTTGATAGCGTCAATACACACAAACCCAGCAGTTAATTGTGTTAAATTAATCCAAACAGAGAAAACACTGTTAAAAAACGTTGAAAAAGAACATAGGCTGATTTTTTTTAGAAGCAGAAAACTACAATCATACTAGACATAGAAAGGCTCCACTAGGAGAAAAAAAAAGGAATTTTCACAGTCCATAGTGTCACACACTTTTTCATAATTACAGCTTTAGAGGAAAAGACCTTTTCTGGAGACTTCTTTTTTGGTTATAAATTGCATACATAACATATGCTTATGCTTTCTTTTTTACAACTTGCTTTTTTCAGTGCATTCCTAAATCATTTCCCTTGTTTTACAAAATTATGGAACTGCAGCTAATGCAAAAAATTTCTTGCTGATTCAAATTAAAAACAACATAACCTGAACTGGTTCAGTGAAGCTGTGGCAACATAGACCACCTACCTTAATGAGAAAGCGGAGTTCACTTGTACATCCTAATAGAGCTGAGGAGGATTTGGAACCGGGAACGATAATCATCAATAAAATAGTGAGCTTTTGAGATATTTAAGAACAATTTAATCGATACATGAAGCTGATCACCTGGGATTTTGTCCAGGAAAAGTAATTTATATGCCAAGTGAAGCAAGGTCCCATGTTCAGCATGACAGCATTTCTTTGTTTGAAGGTATATTAAGGCAGGAACTTTGGAACAGCATGGGCTGAGTTCCAAAATTTCAGGGAGCATTTTAGGCAGCAACAGGCATAACCATCAATAACCAAAGTTAGCAGCAGAACCAGCAAGCAAAGTAGTTGCAACCACTTGTACAGCTATGTAGAGATCAAAGAAGTAGCAGTCGTTAGCTCATGACAGTTTAACAATATCCTCATTTTAGCTCTACTATAGTTCTAAAATAGCTATGTAGTTTAAGATGTTGACACCCATCTTATTTCCCAACAAAAAAAAAAATCAGAAGAGGAAGGAAATGTGGTGGGGTGTGGTAGGAGTAGCAGAAATTCAGTTCTCTTCAAGAACATCTTGAGCAGGGCTAAGAATGTCATCCTCCTACTCCACTCGGCATTGGTGAGGCCACAGCTGGAGTACTGCATCCAGTTCTGGGCACCACAATTTAAGAAGGATGTGGAGAAGTTCAAGAGAGTTCAAAGGAGGGCTACGCAGGTGATTAGAGGCCTTGAGACTAGGTCATACAAGGAGAGTCTGAAAGACTTGTGACCATTCAGCCTTGAGAAGAGAAGACTTAGAGGGGACTCAGTACCAGGCTACAAGTACATCAGGAATGTATATCAGGTACAGGGGGAGCATCTACAGTATTCACCAAGGCCCCCCAGAGGAGGGCAAGAAATAATGGGCACAAACTGATTGAAGGTCATTTCAGGCTAGATATAAGGAAAATCTTTACAAGTCAAGTGCTGAGGGTTTGGAACAGGCTTCCCCCACCCAGAGGTAGCACAGTCATCCACCCTAGCAATCTTCAAAAAGTGTCTTGATGCCCATCTTGCTGGGGTCATATGACCCCAGCAGTCTTTCCTACCCAAGTGCAGGGGGGCTGGACCCGATAATCTGTAAGGTCCATTCAAGCCCCTAACAACTGTGAAACTATGAAATGTTCAACTGCTTTAACCATGGGCCCAACATCCCTCTTGTAAACCCCTCCCTCATCCTCTGTACACCTTCCAACTTCTGCAATAAATGAAGCAGGAAGCCTACAAACAAGAGACTTCTGTACTACCTAGCTCTGATTCATGTCCAGAGCAGTTCTATCTCAAGCACTGAATGCAGCATGATAGGCCCTGTGGAAAAACTATGATGTGATCATGTAATTAAAGATTAGCCTACCTACAGGGTATCTCACTTAACATTGCGCAGGCCAGTTTAATTTTGTCATTTCCTAACTTGAGTGCTTGATTTTGCAACCTTACTAATGTATAATTCTGGTTAATTTCCTAGGTTGGAGGAGGAGGGGGAGAGCAAACAAACAGAAGTTCCATAATACAATTTATTGACACCAACATGGGTCATCATCATGGTTGGAATCTTTGTATCTGCTACATTGACTTTGTCGCCAGAGCTGCTAGTCATGGTACGTTGTCATGCTCCACAGGGAACAGCACTAGAGGGAAGGGACACTTTGCTTTTGAGTTTCATGAATATTTGCTGATAGCAGAGGAATGGTGAAAGGAATCTTAGGTACATTTCCAGGCCCTGCAAAGTAGTATATTCTGTTGGGCACAGTCTCTTCTGTTCCATCTCCTCCAATGGGTCTTTGTCCCAGCTCTATTGTTCCCTAACCACTGGATGGGGGTTCCTGTCTCGTTCTCCTCTCTAGTCAATCTCACTTATCACTCCTATGATTTCTCATCCCAGGACCTTGTGTAGCAAATCTAACGACTCTGGAGTCTCAGTCTCCTTGTCTAGCTAGTGTCTGTTCATTCCTTCTGGCTCTCAACTAGTTTCTCATTCCCGTTTTGTTTCAAGGGTCTTCAGTTCCCAGTCCCAGTCTGTTGTGCAGTCACCACAGGATTCCCAGGAAGAGCATTTTTTCCCTTTTAGAATTTGTTCAGTATCAAATAATCACACTATTTTTAACAGTTTTGAAGAGAGCAAATGTCACATGTCACAGTTCCTAGGAGCACTGCCTCCTGCTGACAGTGAAAAAGGCCTTAATTTATCTCCAAATGTGTTATGTCATACTTGTCATCAAAATTTACTTAAATACAATAAGAAAAGCCCTTTACCCAGTCTTAGCTTCACTTGCTGACTAAGCATTACACTAATGCTCACTTTCATTGTTCCAAGATTGATAGGCACCCTTCTCTGCAAACACGATCCTTCTAATAGGACCCTGAACAGGAGTCATTCTCCGCTCTACTAGTTTGTACTTGGGACCTCTTAATTAATCTCTGCCTCCATTTCCCCATTCACTTACCCTACTTTGTTTTAACTCTTCCAATTAGAAACACTAATTATTGTTATAAGTGACACAAAATTGAGCAGGATAGATGTGTCCTGCACTGAACTTCTGAAACGTCTTTGAAATATCTGCATGTTGCAATTTGCTATTATCTGGGCGCACCTACATGAGACACTACTGCATAGTGGTTACCATGCATTTATTTAGTACTTGTATTAGCAAGTTATTGTGGAGCTATTGTGCAACAATGTGAGCGAACATCGTTTAAGTGACGCTACTGCACAGTTGCCAAATAATACTGCAGAGTAGCGTATTAGCACTGTCTGTGCTGTGATGCAGTATTATTCGGCTACTACGCAGTCAGCATCTTGTGTAGGTACACGCCCAATGTGTAATGCTGCTATCCACATGACAGGGTATTACTGCTGCTCAAGCCATAGATATCCAAATGCTTTCATAGGCAGCCAACTGTGATAAAATTTAGCCTCAGTAGAGGCATCTACACATGCGCTTTACTGCAGAGTTGACCAGCTAGGCTCCACAGTAAAGCATCACTGTCTACATGTGCAGTGCTATTAGACTGCAGTAAACAAATTAACTCTGCTATAGGATAGTATAACCTGACACAAGTACTATCCTACAGCAGAGTTATTTAGTGTACTGCAACCCATGTGCAGATGGTGACTGGAGCTGGCTGGGGCACAAAGGTGCTATAAGGCAGGGCTGCCTGCCAGTCAGCCCTGCAGTCAGCATTCTCATGCCTCAGCCAGCCCCTCCACAGCACCTTAAGCCGGAGCAGAGCAGCTCTGGGCTGGCAGGCTAATCCCCTGGGCTTCCTGCCAGCCAGGGCTGTGCTGCCCCGGCTCAACGTGCTGCAGTCCCGGGCACACATGGAAATGCTGCACCTGGGAGCGATAAACTCCACTGCAAACTGTGCCAGAGTTTATTCAGGCACATTAATTACATGTGTAGATGCATTTGGCAGCAGCTTAGCATATAGCCCTGGTTTTTTTCCTTGTATGAGTCACAGAAACACTGTGGAAACATTAAAAAATAGCTATGATATGAAGCAGATGTACGTACTACACTGAGACACAGTGGCAGCTGGTCAATATGGGGTGCTCAGGCACCGCCCCACCAGTTTCAAAATGACATGATCAGTGTCATGATTATGCTTGTGCACTACGCATACACAACAAAAAGTTGAGTATGTGCAGTAAGCACCTCAGGGCAGGGCAATCTCCTTCACTCCTGAGTGGTACATGAGCAGTAGAAACACTTGAACAGTTAGAATGAAGTGCAATAACCACTTGTTTAAGAGGGCAGCAGGGTGCCTGTACTGATGCCCCAGCGTGGGTAAAGAGCTGTTGGAAGGAAGGTGGAAAGACAAGGGGCGCCACATGCAGAGACATGCATGTGGCCCCAGGCAACCTGCAGAGCAGCTCCAGCAGGTAAATGGAAAGGGGGATTGAGGCCCCTGTAGGGAGGGAGCTGGGCAGGGCTAGGGCTGCTGCCCAGCTAGGTGGGGCTTGGGGCTGAGCAGGTCCCTAGCGGGGAGCAGGATGGGGCCACAGGTGTCTTATCTGGGGGAGGGGGAGGGTCCATTCCTCACTGCTGTGTGCACTCCTGGGGGGCAGGGGAGACCTGTACCCCCAGATTTGTACCTGGGGCAGGCACAGTCTGTGGGCTCCCTGCACCTGCCGCTACTTTGAGGAGTGCAGCCCCGTGCTGCTCCCCTCACAGCAGCCTGTGTGCAGGTGACACATCGCCAGGGCAGCGTGGGAGCAAGAAGTGGCAAGGACGTTTTCCACACAGCTCTTCCACTCCCTGCAGCGCCGGGTCGTGTGGGGGGAAGCAGGGCAGCAGGGAACAGAGGCAAGCAGCGGTGAAGAATCCCCGCGCGGCCCTGCTGTCCCCAGCTGTGCCAGGGCACGCCCTGCCTGACACTCACCCGCCCCACCTGTCTCAGTTCATAAGCCGTGCCGGCTGAGAGAGTTAGTCTTGTTTAGTTTCAGTGGTTAAAAAGCCTCTGGAAACCTTAACCACCGGTTAGATTGAGGCTCTATTCTAAGGGCACCTTTTTCCTTGAAGCCTGATATCTGTTTCGCAATTGTGACAGCAAATTCCAGAAAATGTCCAGGATGTGTCCTGATCTCCATGTGGCTGGAAAGCAGCTGCCCAGCAGAAAGGACAGCTCGCTCAGCCATGTGGAAATCAGACCCAGCCCCTGTGCCCCCTATCAGCCTGCAGCCAGCACCCAGGGGCACCTGAAGCTCCCTCTAGCTGCTGCAGGGGGGCAGTTGTCAGGAGCAAATTAGCTCCCTACAGGTGCATGTTCAGATGTATGCAGGGCCACAGTTTAGTTGTGCCTTAAATTTTCTGTGCAGAAAATCCAGGTACATTAATTGCACATGTAGATGCACCCAATGGGTATTACCAGCCAAAGAACTGGCTTTCAAGCCTTTTAGTAGCAACTCTTTGATAGTTTCACTAAGACAGTTAAAAAACAGGGAGTGACAGTTAGTTAGAAAGCAGAGTGACATTTACTATGCAGTTCCCAGAGTACAATTAAATTTCAATGTAAACACTATGGCTGAAATATGCCCTACCCTTAAATAGATTATACACTTAACGCATATGCAGATAACTTATATTTGGTATAATATAAACAACAGGTAACAGATTGAGACTGGCACTGTGTTATACCATCAAGTTAGGCACTAATCAGGTATACATAGAAGTGTAGGACACTGTAGAATTTATGGAAAATAAAAGTGTAAAGAATGTATTGCATTGGGAATGAATGAAAAATAGGGGATAGTAAATTTAGGGCCAGATCATATCCCACCTATTAAGTGTATAAGTGGAATTTAGGCATATAAATGCAATTCTATCCTATTCACATCTCTAAAAACTCATTAATGCAAAAGAAAGGTGGGTCGTCCTCTTCTGTGTTACTTTTAATGGCTTAGTCTTAAGGTTAAAGTAAAGGTATATTACAAAAGTCTACACATTAATGTTTCTTCAGGGACTTGAATAGGGTGAAGTAGGGTCCTACTTAGATGTCTAGCTGTTATTTAGATATCTTATAAGTGGGACAGGATTTGATCCTAAATGTTTAAAATACTTTATACAGCATGTCATGTTTAATATTCCAGATAACTAAAGATACAGATTCACAGCCATAGAAATTCTGTGGTAAGGTTTTATTCAAGGTAGCTTTGCTTGCAGTGATATTTGGGTTTTTTTTTTCACAGTAGCAATATTTTTCAAGTAAAAGGCTGTAATATGGATGATAAAAGTTCAGGAACCTAAATTTGCTTCTGCAGAATTATGCAGGTTATTCTTAATCTGAGAAACACACTACATTTTCTCCTTGACAATATTGCAATTTGCTTTAAGAGTTGAGGAAGAGTGAATGCATTTTTGTGAATAACTAGTAGGAAGAATTCCACATGTCACTTATACTACTGTCATTTTCTTTTCAAAGTTCTCCATCAGCTTTAGAGAAGAAATATTGGTTCCACCTTAGGATTCACATTCTCTATATATAAGAGGTTCTATATATATTACATCTGGCCCAGCCTTAAAATGATCATCACTGACAATACCTTACTATATTGCTTAATTTTATAGTTTTATGTGTGTTTTTCAAACTTCTCTGTAATTTTGCTATGATTGTCTGGGGCAGCATCTTGCTAGTATGGGATGTTACAATGTTATCACCCATCACAGCCTGGAAAACGGTAGAAAGTCAACATAAATTCCTAGATTTAGATTTTTAAAATTTTCTAGAACCTACTTGACGTATATGTACTGGTAATTAAATCTATTCTTTCTCTTGACAAGTGGATTTGATATATACTATCTGGGTCTTGGTTCTGTATTACATTATACTGGGTGCATCTACTTGTGCTCTTTAATGCTCATTAGCCTATTTTAATGCTCCTTAAAGCATCACAAAAATCAGTGTATTTTTGCTAATGCACATTAAAATAGGCCAATGCACCTTTATCTAGCACCTCACAATGGAGGAACTAAATTTAATGCACATTAGCAAAAGTGCATTAATGAACATGTAGGTGCACCCACTATATCTCTGTTTTAGAAAGAAGTTTTCCCACTAGAGTAGCTTATTTCTCTCTGGCAAACCTAAATCTTCTGAGGTTGCCTGTTGTAATAAATGAATACTAGTGAAAATATAAAAATGCTAATTCTGACAAGCAGTTTTAGCATGACCACCTGTAAGGTTTGTTTTACATCTCCAAGAAAGAACATTAGGTTTTACAACATAAATTAGCTGGTTGATTGTCATAAATATTCCTGTGACACTCTTCAGAAGTCTTCTCTGTTGCTCCCTGGAAAGAGAACAAAAATAAAAGATGATGACATTTTGGAGAGAAAATGACAACTTATGCTTAATAGTAATAAACCTGATATGACATCACTTTCCCTCTACACATTGTACTGTCAGAAGTACAATGTGTTTTAATTTAGCTAGCTGATATAAACCAATATGCCAGACAATAATATGGGACTTCATGCAACAGGTAGAAATTAGCTGCACTAAGGATTTATGACAGGCTAAAATACTGGTTCTAAATCTTAGATACAGGCCACCCTTGGAAAATGCAGCTCTTACCTTTCACTCGTTTTTGACTGTGGACAAATAATACAGTCATTTTTTCTGTTGCAAAGAACTCCGAAAGACCACAACAAGTCAGAATGTTTGTTACGCTTCTGATTCCTATTTTGTGAAACACATTTAGGCGTTTCCACACCTAACAGTGCTAATATTGTGTGGCATTCTGTGGCATCCTTAAAATGAACTCACATAACCCTGGTTGAGAAGCACTGAACTAAAGACTTACAGGGACAAAATGTGTATAAAAGCAAAGGGTTATTTTTAGTCATAGAACAGGATTCTAAATGGATGAACAAATATAGCAAAGGTATTGTGCATTAATTATTGAGAATTCATTTTGTAATATCTCTTTAATTGGATAAAACATACTTAAGACCTGACACTGCAACTCCATGCCAACTTATTTTGAAATCTAGTATGTATTTATTGGGTCAGGCATTAAATGTAACCCCATGCAACTTGCCCCATTGTCTTTTATTTATTACTTAAATGAACAACTTTATTCATGAGTTAATTTCCTTAATGATCCAAGCCCACATGACAGGTTAATGATACTAGTGAAGGATGGTGGTGTTGCAGTCCTTGTGATTTCTTATTTTGAAGATATCAACAAGTGCACTAGTCACATAAACTGATCTTTACTTTAAAAATCTCACAACCTACAGAGTATACACTAAAAAAGTGTTAACTGTTGTTGATAGTTCTGTCTAAGCCAGAAAAACTCTGTCTGGGTGTGTCTATACAAGATGCTTTACTTTTCATTCAGCTAATCTAATGCGTAGTAAAGCATCACCATCTACATTAATTACTGTGCATTAAATTAGTCTAATGCACTGTTTGCTAGTACCAATACATACAAGTGCTAGAAAAATGGTGTATTAACTAATGTGCCAAAGCTCACGTGCAGCAGGGGGCCACAACTTCTGCCTGGCTGGCTAAGCCCCAGTCTCTGTGGGGCAGGGGTAGTTGTCCCAGCTCTGGGGCAGGTCCCTCCTAGCTGTGTAATTGGGGCCAGCCCTGATCTCCGCAGGGTTGAGGAGAGCTGCCCTAAAGCTGGGACAGCTCCCCCTGCCCCCCAGACCTGACCCCTGTGCCCCCTGCCAGCCCAGGGCTGGCACCCGGGGGAGCCTGAAGCTCCCTCTGGCTGCTGAAGGGGGGAAGAGTGGGACAGGAGCAGCCCTGGACTGAATTGCTCCTGTTGGGAGCAAATTTGCTCCTGGTAGGTGCATGTTCAGATGTGTGCCTGGGTGCAGTTTAATGCACCTGAATTTTCTGCGCAGAAAAATCAGGCACATTAACTGCACTTGTAGACATGCCCCTACATTTTTAAATCCTCTATGCCAGTTGTGTTCAATCTTTTGGCACTAGGAGTGAAAAGAGTGGCATAGGGCCAATCTGTGAGCTGGATTTGGCCCCACATGCCAACATCTGGCTCTCATGCCCTGTGCTGCTTCTGCCCAGCCCCACTCACTAGGATCAGGCCTCACACTCCCCCTGCTCACAGCAGGATTGGACCCCATACTGTCCTGTACACCCAATCTAGCGCACAGGCCCACAGGGCTCCCTACAATCTGAAAATTTCACAGCAGGGCCTGCAGTCTGGATGACACAACACCATGGGCCAGATCTGGCCTGTGGACTGTAGACCACCACTGCTCTGAGACATTTGCAGCACTGGCAATTGCGGGGGAGAAGGGGCAGCTTATTAGTAGTAACCTATCAGGCTCAAATGTGAAATTACTGAAGCCCCGTCTACACATTACACTTAAGATGTCATCAACCAGATAATCACGTTTTAGGCTGTGACACAGCCGCATGTTCAATCAATTAATGGCATGATAAAACAAGGAATAAGCCACAAAGTTATTCCACAAAAATGTAATAACTTTGTGACTCTTCCTTATCATGTCTTTAATTAAACATGTGGCCACATGTCCCCCTGCAGCTGGGAACCCCATCAGCTGTGGGAATCCCAGCTATGGCAACATGGGGCTCCCAGCTATGGGAGCTTGCTAATTGCCAGTGCAGAAAGAACCCAGGATCACAATCCTAGGCTCCCCCTGCACTGGCAAGAAGGCATGATTGAATTCCATGCTGGTTCCCACAATTACACCTCCTACCATGCATGTGTGGCATGGCAGGAGGCACAACTGTATGGATCATGCAACAGATCCTATCACACATTTACTTGAACATCTAGAGGGGCCTGAGAAACCCTGTACTTAGACCTGCATGATGCTAGTGATATTTTTTACAAAGTCACGTTTCAGAGTGGAATCACATGGTAAGCAGCAGTGTTGTATTGGGCAGTCTTGTATTGGGCACCCATATTCTGGTTGACAGCAACATGTCAAAACCTTCTCCTAAAGCTCAGATTTACTATGCTCCTTTAAATTCATTCAATGTTTGTTTTTATCCTATATGTAGTGGAATAAGCATCACAACCTCTATATACACTCCTTTTAAAATCAAAACCTGGGACACTTGTAGCAACAATGGCCAGGCTGCAGAATATTTATATATGAAGCAAAAGTTCTCTATCCTTTAGATCTGTATCAGTTCCATTACTGTCACCATCCAGTTCAACAGAATCACATTTACGTTTTCCAGATTGGAAGCCATTTCCTAGTAACTTAGTGTTCTGAATGGTCTTATCTTGACACACTGGATGTATTTATTGCAGTGGTTCTTGCCTCTTTAGAGCTGAGGCAACCCTTGATAGATTTGAGGCCCTCCTCAATAGATTCAAAATTGGATTCCAGTTAAAAAAGATCTCAGTTCAAGATTGGAAAAGATCAGCTTTGTTTTCAACCATTTTTTATTACAAAAAGGTAATAGAGAAATTCTTCTATTGCAAAGAATACAGGAAGACTACAACAGGTCAGAATGCTTTTAATACTATGGATTCTTATTTGAAAACTCATAGTTTATCTTGCAAATCATGCTTGCACACATAACAATGCTAACATTGTGTGGACCCCTGCATCTCAACCAAACATTTTATAATTATTGAAAAAAAAAGTTTTAATGAATGAAGCAAAAGCCCAGGATATTTCATGTGTCCCAAAAGAAGTTCCTAGTATATAATTTACAAAACCAGGACATATGGTCACTTTATTAACACAATACAAAACAATATTTGCTTTTTCATCATAGGAAGCTGAAAGTGGTCAAGTGATTTTTCATTTATTTGTGTGATAGAACAAGCAAGGAGCAAACAAAAATGAGAGGCATGTTTTTCATTATGTTGTGTAAATACATGCTATGTGTATGCATGCATGCACACATATATTTACAGATCTTTGGTAAACAACAGATTAATTTCTGTTCTACTTCCCTCTTCTTTTTACAGCTTAGATGGAAAAACGTTTGAAAAGAAGTGAACTCCTGAGTTGAGTTTTTCTACTTAGTTTCTATTTTTTTTTAATGTTACCTTTTGTTATAAACACTGATTTTAGTGGAAGAGATCTTGCAATCAACAGATTTTTATAGGTTCATACCAACATCTTATATTCTCCTTTAGGAAGGTATAGTCACACAGAATGGTAACACTTGGACAAAATCTTTGATTTTGAAAGCCATAAAAGGCAAACTTGAGTGAATACCAAACTTTAAGCATGAGTAATTCCACTGTTTTAGGAGGACTTAAAGGAAATGTATTGGCACCTTCTTTTCCTTTGGATTAAACCAGCAAGGCTAAGAGAGGGACACTGGTGTGTGGGTAGCTCAGCATCTCCATATACACTGCCCAGACTTTTTGCACCCTGGAGAGGTCACTCTAGCTTCACTTTATCTTTCAAGTGGGGATTATGTTCAGTGAACTGTTGTCTAATTTAACGTAATTCTCTTGTCTCGCAAGACAGACAGATGCCTACTATTAAAGCTGGGTATGTACTTCAGTTACCTTGATGGCTAAGTACAGATAGCCAAAAAGCCCGAGGCTGAATTGATTCAATCTTTGCAGGTTAACCTAAGCTGTGTACATTGAACTGATAAACAAGTGAACAGACATTCACTTTTGATTCCAGAAATGCAGTCACATGCCAGCAGTGGCCCAGGCCAGAAGCCCAGAGGCGCTAGAGCATGCCTTCCTGCTGGACTGGAGCAGACAGCTTGCAGACAGCTTGGACCAAGGCTAGCCTGCCCACTCTGCAAGGATGGTTTGCAGGGGAAGTGCAAAGCATCATGGGATGCTAGGGGACTGTGAGTTAACTTGATTCTGGAGGGGATCTGGGACAGAAGTTCAATAATTTAAATCAGATAAACCTGATATTACATCCATCCAGGTTTATTTTAAAACAATTTTGGCCATTTTGAAAGTGGTTTATGTGCACTGAACTTCTGTTGTGTTATAGATTTGAACCACTTTTGGATCACTTATACCAGTTTATATGTAATTTCTGTCTCTAGCCGCTGAGTTGCAGCCTGAGAAAGACATCAGCCTTCCAATTTTATTTAAAGGCAAGTTGAAAAGTGCTAAAAATTGGAAGACTGATCCTGGTCTATGTCCATTCTGAAAAGGAACATATCAAATTATTAGCACCTGGTTGTGTTACACTTAAGATAAAAAAACTGGAGCTCAGTTGAGGAAATTGGGTTCTCCCCCAGGTCCAAAGGATTCAATTCATTTTATATAGCTCAGGATATGAGTCAATAAATAATTACATCATTGATATAGTAAAATTGTGCTACCTCCAGCATTGGAAAGATATTGATGGAACTGTCATGATTCTTTAGTAAAAAAGAAACATCAAGTATGGTAAGTTCTTATGCCATTTTCATGCAAGGATGGGAAAGTGAAATCACAACTGCAATATATGTGCAAAGTTTCAATAGGCTGTAAATGCAAATAGGTGCAAAAAAGGGAAGATGAAGTCAGAAAGGATATGGCATGCTGGGAAGGTCAATATACCTTTAAGAATCCTTAGAAACATCTTCAGATGCCTTTCTTTCAGTAGAAACTGAAAATGAGGACAGAAATCATTAGAAACATTTCTCTTGTTAAGTAGTCTAACATATTAACTACAGAACAAAGCGGTATGCTTTATATTAGAAATAAAATGTACTTTGGGCATGTGAGTTGAGCTTTTCATAGCAGTTGTGGGATTTAGACCTACATCTAACAATTAACTTTCCTATTTCTAACTTTAGCGGAAGCTGTGTCCAATCCTCTAGATTGCTTTGAAAATCTCAGCCAGGATCTCTTTAATGCACATGTTCTTCTAGGTTTTTTTTGTTTTTGTTTTGTTTATGTTCCAGTTTAAGATGAATAAGAAAAGGTAATTGGATCAAAACAGCTCATTACATATACATGCTATATATCACTTTCTTTTCCCACAACTTTCTTTTCATTCCTACAACATAACATTCCACCTTTCAAATTAAATCAGACTAAAAAATATGATTTTGTCACAAGTGACAAACAGGGATTTTCCTCCTGCTGTAACTTCATATCAAATAATTATGTAACCCAGTGGCGACCAACCTTCTGGCCCTGTGGGCTGGATTAGTGGCACAAGGCCTATCCACAGGCTAGATCCTGCACGTAGCGTTGGTCCATGGGCCTGAATCAGTGCAGGGTTGGCACATGGGCTAGGGACAGACATTACACACAAACTGGTTTAAGTGATCAGAAACTGGATAAACCTGTAACAGAACAGATGTTCATTGCACATAAACCAGTTTGAAAATGGCTGAAGCTGGTTTCACATAATGTAGTATCAGACTTAACTGATTTGGTTCAAACCAATTTATGCAATGTCTGTCCCAGACCCCTTCCTGGTTTAAGTTAAACCAGAGTCCCCCAGCATCCCAGATGCTTTGCAACCCTGGGCGGGGCTCTGCTCTCTGCTCCAGCCCAGCAGGGCTGGCCCCAACCCTCTGCTCCCTGGCTGGAGCTCTGGAAGAAACTGCAGGTACAGCAGCATCTGCCTAGCTTCCTCCTGCCCCCCCGCCCTACCCCATCACTCCCTGCTCAAGCAGGGATTCCCTCCCCACCCTCTCTTCTGCCTTACACAGACACCTCTCAGCATTAGCTAACATACCACATGCTGGCTACGGTCCATGCTGTGGGAGACAGGACAAAGGCAGACAGGACAGTGTCAGTTTAGGGGGTTTTTGAGCTAACCAACAGGTAACTGGTAATGTCCCTCCATTCCTTTCTTGGAAAAAATTGTTTAAGAAGAGTTTGAACTAATAAGAGAGACTTTTGTTTTGTTTGATGGGGTAATAAATGCTAACAACTCCCTATGTAACTCCCTGCTGAGTAACTAAATGCTCTGTTACCAAATCGGGATGGGGTGGAGGGACCCCCCTCTAATCAAAGCATCCTGCTTGGGTCTGGCCATGCCGCGCCCCCCACCCCGCTCAGCACTGTGGGGGGGAAGGGACGGCTCCTCTAGCACCCCCTGGTTTCTAGCCTGAGCCACTGCAGGCATGTGCCTGTAATTCTGGGATGTCTGTACAGTTACAAACCTGTTCAGCCTAGCCAGGTTAGACTAATCTGCAAAGATTGAATCAATTCAGGCTCAGGCTTTTTGAATTTCTGTAAAAAACTCCTAGCTCTGGAGTCAGTCCATGTGTATGCTCTGGTACACTGGCTCAGCCCTGCACACCTGATCTAGCCATGGATCAACCCTGTGCACTGTCTCAATCTAGCACATAGGGCCACATCATGCAGCCTGCAGAGGCCCCCATGGGCCTAGAAATTTGGCAGCAGGGGTGCTGCAACTAATGCTGCCACTGCTTCCCCAAAACCAAATTTTTCAGACCCTTGAGGTCTGAAATTGTGGGATGCTTCCCTTGAAAGGTCTTGTGGGTTTCATTTAATGACCAAAATTCAGTATAAGCTGTTTTCAGCATGTGGCAGTGATTTCATAAATATTTGTTTACCTCAAAAGAAAATTTAAAATAGCTCATGGAATATATATACATAGCAGACACATGGGGCTACTTGCTTAATTTTATTAGACTACTTAGAAACAACAGTTTGGTTTCTTTCCCCAGAAATAAAGTATTGTAGACTCAGGTATACTGTGCACCTTCTGAAGCTTGCCCAGATCCCTCAGCAACAGTTTCCTGGTTTGTTGGGGATGCATCAGGCCTCTCTTGAGCTGAAGAGTCTATTTCTTCTTGCATATTCTCTAACTTCTGCTCATGAGCAGAAGCAGGAGAAGCTGCAGCATCCAAGACATCACCAGCAGTTTCTATGAATAAGAGAGATAATTGTCTTTTTCTGTTCATTTGCCAGTATGAAGGAGAGCACCTGGGCCTCACTTCAACATGGTATTAAAAATACGTGCTGAATATTAAGTGTATGTTGTGGCCATTAAGTTAATGCAATTATTCAGATACTTAAAGTGCAGCATGTGATAAAAGTCAGAAGGCCTCAGGTCTATAATATTATTTATTATTGTACTTAAATCTTCGTACACTTAAGACAAAGAATTACAGACACTGAAACTATTTTTCTAGTTAGCTGGCGTGTGTCCCTAAATGAAGGCGTGTGCTTTCTAAAAAGTATTCTCTTTGGACAGTCACTTTTTTACATTTACTTTTCCAGTTTCTTTCATGTGTTGTACAATATCATTACATAAACTTGGCAAGTGTAGAAGGTTCAGTGTAAAATATGACAGACAATTGTCTTATGAGTACACAGTTTAGTTCCATGTTACCATATATTAGGGGTTACGAAGATGCTATTAAGCAGTTTGGGTTTTCTTTGTTTTGTTTTTAAATGGAAAACATCTTGTTAGATTGATTGGCTTATGCGCTGCCAAAGTATGAGTGCTATGTCTCTTCATGGCTTCCATTCCTTTGCCTCTTTAGGATGAAGTAAGCCATTTGCTTAAACAACTGCATATTATAACAAGACTGAAGGACGTTTTACAATATGCAAAGTCATGTTACCAATAGAGTCACGTAAGGGAGATATTTTTCCCGCTACTTCTGGAGTTAAATTTCATGTACTTCTACCATCTTTTAGCATAAAGTCTCCCTCAACAATTCCTGTGCAAGTTAAATTAATAGTGTTTATTGTACTTTGGATTTGTTTCTATTATTAGGTGTACTGAGCACGCTAGGGACCAAGAAGGCTCTTTATAAGCAGTACATAGACTATATGCTAACAGAACTGTTCTAGATCTAGTGACACCCAGGTTTTATTATGTATTATGGCTTGTAGGGAGTTAAATAGGACACATTCACTACATATATCATTTATTAGAATAGATTCACTTGACAGAGTATTTTATGTGGACAGTTAACTTCCAAACAGCAGTACAAAAATGAAAGAATTGTTTCTCTTCTGTTACAGAATGAGGATGCAAGAAAGAAGAAAAAATACAGTGCATTTAAAGCATGGAGCATGCTAAAATATTAAGTATTTTAATGGAATTTGGAATTGAATAGTGCATTAAGTTTATTTTTACCATTATGATTATAACTGTTGATTGTAACATCATGATTTTGAATTGATTATTTTTAATTGAAATTAAGAGAATATTGCTTGTGATCTAAACTGTTTTACTTGGATAACATTGTTTGGTTCAAACTGTCATTTTTATCTATTTAGTTTCTTTTAGTTTAGCTTGGCAGTAGACTCCAAAAAGATAAAAGCCATTCTGGCAGTGCAAGACAGATGTAGCTTGGAAGCCTCTCCAATGTATTATATTTATGACCCATTATAAGGCACCACACCCTTTTAAGTTGTTCTAATTCATTCTCTTTTATATTCTTTTTATTGGTCTCAAAACAGATACAATAATGCTATGTCAAGGATCTAAAACTGTATCGATGGTATTTTATTAAATTGCTTTTTTGGATAATACATTCTATCCCAAAGAATGATTCTCCATTTTCCAGTATTGTATTCACTTGCTCTTCCTTGTGCAAACTATATAACTGGATGTGATGGAGGCCACTGGAGATTGGATTTGACAAGTCCAGAGAAAACGCTAAGTTGTCTGAAAAAAAATATCAGTAGCATCTGATTTGGTGTAGCACGTAGTGCATATCTCTACAGATCAATAGAAAGAAGCTACTTTTGTCCATAACATAAATTACTTGCTTGCATGGTTGCATGAATCTATCCAAAAATCTATTAATGACAAGATGGTAGACAGCTGAAATAACACATTTTATAGCATTTCTTTTAGCAAACAACCAGAACACTTCAAATGTGAACTGAGTTCCACTCTCACTTAATCTTTTCAGTAACTCCAGTCTGCAAAAACAGTAGTGTTAACACTTACACCACCTATGATAAACAAGTTGCATTTATACAGAATACTTTAGGCCCTTTAGATATCTAGTGAATTAAGAATAAAGCCTTACAAATTGTCCAACCTAATATATATGCAGACTCATTGTCATTACCCAAAACTGCAAAGGAACACATTTAGAGAAGTGCTGCATTTGTTGGCAAACTCAACATAGTTTTGCCATTTCCTCTCTTTGCAGATTAGTTTCTGGCCTTCACATAAAATATTTTGTCATAGATTTTTTTTTTGCATTTCCTAAATGGCCTTCATGTAATGTTTGAAGGACATGTGCCCTGAGCTTTGTTAAAATACCTCTTCTAGTGCCACACAGTAGGCAACCTCGATACATGTTTAACTAGTAAAGAAAAGGATGCAGGAAGCAGTCTGTTGGGAATAGGCCCAGCTATTCATTAGCTAGCACTGGATTATTTTAGTATCATGGTGTACCAGAATATTTGTTACCAGCAGGGATTCAGGTTGTGCCATGGAGGTCATATTGACCACCTTTAGTTGTTTCAGTCTCCTTATCTGTCACTACCAATTGAATAGACTGCTGCCGGAGGTGGTTCAAGCACCCGCTTTGGATGTCTTCAAGACACATTTGGATGTTTATATTGCTGGGATCCTATGATCCCTGCTGACTTCCTGCCTTTGGGGCAGGGGGCTGGACTCAATGATCCTTCTGGGTCCCTTCCAGCCCGAATGTCCATGTCTATGAAACTATGACAAGAAACCTGCTTGTTTGTACATGAAACTCAATAAATATAACCACTTATTACTAGTATACCTTTCTTTAGGTAAAAAATATAAATTAGAGCTTGATGATCTGCAGCCTGAGTAATTGTTTTCCCATGCAGACATTGGTGATGGTGGAACTCCCAGACCCAAGACAAAGTTCAAAGTTTCTATAAAGCTGAGGTCAGTTACATTCTACAGAAGTAGGAGCCCTAGAAACAAAGGCAAGAGAGCTTCAGTATGACCTTGCATCACATGAAATTACTATTACTATTCAAAGCGTGAAGGTATCACCAGCAGACTTCACTGACAAAGATACAAGGGAGAGTGCTGTGCGCCACACTGCCTATGGTGGCACTGATTCCATGCATTCAGAGGATGTAACACTACTAGTACATCAGGCAAGAATCTACAGTAATTGATACACATCTTTACTAGGTAGCAAAGGGATTTTATGACCTAGTACAAATGGAGCATACACAGTGCACAGCCCAACTATATACTAAATCATTTAAATCTGGGATTACGTCATCTCTTGAAAAGATCATAGTAAATCTACTGTACAGCAAAGTTGATAGGTAGGATGTGTTCCGTATTTATTTCCTAGTCAGTTTAATTTTAGAGCAGTTATTTGTACAGTGCAAACTGGTTTCTGCCACCTAGAGGCTGTAATAGCACCTACTCTAAGCTTCGAGCTTGGGAGAGCTGCTTGTACATCTATTCCTTACTCCTTAGTATAGAGGATATTTGTTATGAAGTAGAATCCAGGATATATTACTCACTAGCAATTGTGCTGTGTATTTGCATCCTTTGTCTTGCAAAGTTTGTAAGTAACCGTTAGTGGTATGGCAACAGTCTGTAACTGAAAGTTGGTACAAGTCATTTTTGCTTGTTTGCTTTAAGATCATCCAACTACAGTCTTGCAAGTTCCTTTTGGAGGTCCTGAAGGTACTGTCTGCTTCAGGGGTGGGCAAAACGCGGCCTGTGGGCCAGATACAGCCCACCAAGCCATTCTATCTGGCCTGTGGGGCCCCTAAAAAATTTAGAAAATTACTATTTATCTGACCTGGGCTGCCTGTCATGCAGCCCTCGAAGGCTTGCCAAAACCCAGTAAGCGGCCCTCCACCCAAAATAATTGCCCACCCCTGGTCTATTTGCTTTCATTACCAGTGTAGCACCTAAGTAATACCAAGTACTGGAAACATCCTCTAATACCTGCTATATGGATTTCTGCCAAGTAGTAGATATGGATGCTATTGTAAACACTAATCCAGTCTTTGCATAGTGGTGTTGAACAGTCTTCATCCTCCAGCTGTAGATCAACTGGACTAGATTGGGGTGCTCAATCCCTGGTCTCTGAAAATGCCCATGGGTTGGGAGATTTGGTGGCAAGGGAATGGTGGCACTACTCCCCCACTGTCTGGGTAGGGTGGCTGGGGCCCAATCCTGGCATGCAGGGCAGGGGCAGAGGGGAGCTGCAGGGCCCAATTTCAGTGTGCACGAGTGGTGTAAGACTCTGGGACCCAATCCCAGCAGGCACAGGTTGTGTGGGGCCCAATTCAACATGCAGATCAGCCTTGTGCCATTCATCTGGCTCACAGGGCCAAAAGATAAAGCAACACTGGACTAGATCAATCTTGGCTAAATGCTTAGCCTTAGCTCTTAAGGTAAATATATTCTCCAGTCCAAGCAAATGGTTCCGATGCCTATGTAGTACCAGATCAGTGGTAACTTTGACATGACCATTGACCAGACATACTGATAGCCCCCTTTTTCACAATTAACACTATCAAGGCATTCTATTTTTTTCCCCGTTAACCTTAGAAATCATTCTGAAAACCTGTAAGTGGTATACTGCCCCTGGACCAGATTCAGCCATAGGCTTTGCAAAATGTAAGAGTTCCTCCCCCTTTGAGCAGTTTTTGCCTCTGTATGTTTAATCTTCCATTTCTACTCTAAAAGGCATCAGCTGCTGCATCCAAAAGTTCAGCTACTTTTGTTTGGGGCTGGAGTTCCTTTTTAAGCTTCTATGCATCTGGTGCTTTTGTCAGTTCAACTAACTGCATTTCTCTCTCCACCATTTTCTGTCTGGTTATGGAGAACACCTTTATTTTAAAAACACAGTTTAAACACCTGCTCTTTACAGAGCTAGGTCATTCTGTTTGGAAAGCAAGGTTTTCCTCTGTTAGTTTTCAGAGTACCAAGGTTTT